TCTTAGTGTATCTGGAAGAGGAGGAAGGGCTATAAAAGAAGATAGTTCCCTGTTCAGTTACCCTGCTGTCCCTCCTCAAAGTGAAAGCTGTTTCTTCCCTAATTGGTCCCAGAATGAAGAATAACACAGTGTAGAGGCCAAGGCACTTCTCTATCACCAGCAGCCATGCCAAGCACGAGACAAATCTTCCCTTGTTACAGTCCTCTCACCTCCAATTTTCTTTGATACAGCCCTAAAAATGATTAATTCCTTCTTGACAATGCATGATTATGGAGAACTTGAATTAGCAGGCTGTGGTCATCCCATGAACAACACTGCCCTCCCCTCATCGTTTCATTGTGTATTAAATGTCATTAATTGCAGAGATGGATGCGCAGGTCAGGGGCTTCCCCTCTGTTCCTCTTGCCTCAGAGCCAAAAGCCATTAACCCTTGGTGGGAAAAAAAATCACACCTTCCTAGGGCCAGGATGAGCTTATGGATGAGGTCAGTTGATGGAGAAAGACCAACTTAAATGAAGGATGCTACGATACCATGGTCTGCAACATCAGGGACTTGAACTCCAGATTCCAGGAAGAATTTTCCAGTTCTGTGAGTCCAACTGAAACTCTCTGTGATTTCACAGGTTTTTTTTATGGGAGTGAAGACACTGCAGCCAAAGCAGCTGGGTGTCAGAGTACCAATTACCCTGTGACAGAAAGGGCTGCTTCCCTTGCCTTCCCTGTGAAGAGCCTCATTAGGAGCTGAGTTTAAATGGTGCTGGCAGGTTACACTGGGGAGAGACAGGAGTCACTGAAGACAAAGTGGACTATATACTATATATATGCTCTGTATATCCTATATATATATCTGTATGTATCCATATACAGAGGAAATACTAAAACACTGCCCAGTTGACTACAGTGGTAGTAACTGATAGGACTTCATCCTTCAGAGAAGGATCTATCACCTAAAAATGGGCTTTAGTGCTTTATTGGCTTGTGCCATTCAGCCTTGCACCCTATGTGTGACTAAATTGCTTCCCATAGCCAAAAATCACAATTTCCTATCCTTTTCTCAATGAAATTGAAATTTACATCCCATTTCAGATGAGAAAAATCCATCTCAATTAAATTTATGTATAAAATAGCAAACCACTTCCATCCAGATTTTATTTCTGTTTATCTTGGAGGTGCCTGTACTGCTTTATGAGAAGAGGCAGAAGTGTAAACCCATATTTTAAGGTAAAAATGACAGTAGAAGTGACCTTGGTCAAGCAGATATTGCTTTTTCAACCATGTCTAGAGGAGATAATCTAACAGCAGTCTGCAAAGCATCATGTTTCCTTAGATCCTGCTACAGTAATTCAATCATGAGCATATAAAATTAGATGAAAAATAAGGTAACTAGCCTTCTGGGACTGACTGATTGCAATAAATATTGCTTCCTGACAGTAAGCATTACACTGTCCTCTTTCAAGAGAGGTTACCTCCTACTACAGCAGCTGCTCTCATTCCAGCCTGTGCCAGGTTAGCAGTGCTGTTAAATGTATTCTGCAGGACAGCAAACAATCTTTTAAGAAATTATATGTTGCCTTTAAAGTACCAAAAGAGAGAGTAGAAAACTTCCAGCTTTTGACCTTCAGGATCAAATGAATGATGCCAGATCTTTCTTGGGTTTTTGGGTTTTTTTTAGGATAGATATTTTCCCTTGCCCTTGCCTTTCATTTAAGTATCATGAAGTATTTCATAAGCACTGATTGATTTCTCCAATCTTACCAACCTTGCCATCCACTGCAGAGAAGTTCAGCTCAGACACAGTCATGTCTGTGGCTCTAAACTCAATGAAATTTGCAACAGCAGGTCACAAAGGAAGGGACAGAGTGAAACTGAAGTATGCTGGAGGTTATTCTCTGCCAGTACAGAAATTGTTTTCAAGCCATAAATATTTGCCCATGTGTTTGTCCTATGGACAGTTTAGAAAATACAATTTTTAAGCTATTGCAGGCTTGATTACAGTAAAATCACTTAATTCAGCTACCTGCAAGGATACATATGAGGCTGGCATAGAGTACACCAGTGATCACTGTGAACACACATTTTCATGTCACAGTCCCAGAGTAGAGAGCAAGACCTTAGCTCTGGGTGCTTTTATACATATTGATGAATTTTATACATATTATTGAGATTTATGTATTCCATACATATTTAGATACAAATTTATGTATGTTAGACATATTATGGAGAAGAAAGCACTAAACAGCTACAGGTACTGACACTGTCTGGTCTTGAACATTGGTTCCAGCTGTGGGGAATTTTTTTTGGGGGAAGCAAAGATGGGAACTCCTGGCAGAAGCCCTTGGGGAGCAGACATTGTAAGACAAATCCTTGTTCACCCTGGTGGGCTTGCTCAGTCTGGCTGATCAACTGCAGGATCTGCAAGGTCCCTTGATATATCCTCATTCAAGGAGCTTTTCCTTTTATGTGTTATACATAACACATTATTATAAGAATTTATTCATTCTTATTATTATGAATAAATAAGATTTTCTGTTAATCTAAACTCTACTAGAGCATGAATGCTTGTGAGCAATAACCCAACACCCTGAGGAGCTGAGGCATGGCCAAGCTGTGGTCTGAGGAGCTGTGGAAAAGGAATTGTCCCTTTAGGGATCCAGGTGATTCTCCATGAAACCACAACACCTGTTTATCTGACCAAAGTCTGACAGGATGACATTTTTATCCAGCAATCTGTACTTCATCCAGAACAGAGGTTTCCACTGTCCTGTCTCACATCAGCTGCAACAGGAACCAAAGGGAGCTGTCCCTGCTGCAAGTGCACCCATAGCACACATCTGAAGTTAGATGGATCCTAGAGGAAAAATGCCAAAAAGAAACGTGGTTCCTGCAAACTGCTTGAAAGCAAATAGGTTGAAAGACCTCTCAGTCATGTAAATAAGGAATAACTCCACCAAATGAAATATTTTTATAAAATCAGTGAAAATGGTAATTCTACAAAGAATTCTCTATTTTCTCATGTATGCACATTCTTTCCAAAGGCATCTGAATGCAGACACTGAGATGAGCTCCACAGGTGCAGCTGTGCTGTGTCTGTGCTGCAGTGAAATTTGAGAATTTAGTCCTGAATAATGAAAATTCAGATATATTCAGCAGATGTAAATATATCTAACCCTAATGACCTTATAATTGAGTTATTGTTTGCAGCAGCTGAGAATCAGGCCCATAGTTTATTATGCAAAATTATATTCTTGTGTACTGGAATAATGTACCCACAAATAAAACTCATTAATCTCTTCAGGTATCACTGCAGGTTTTTGAGGATGAGATATAATGTAATCAAAACCAAATCACCTCATAACTGTTGATAAGGCCCTTTATAAAACTTAATCTTGTTATTCACAAATGCTTCTAACTGCAGTAAAACAATTATCTTGGTGCAAAGGAAATGGATGCTGTCTCTGGTAGCTCCTGACAGCTGTTCTTGAAATGACAACAAGAAGAAAAACAAACAAGGTTTTTCATTTAAAGGAACTTTGTAAACATAATATTTATTACAGAACTGAATGTTTATTGACAAATGACACTTCTTTGCATTTGTCTGCCATACATATAAATTCAGATTTATTTCAGGTAAGTCCATTAAGTTAATTAATCCATTAAATTAATTAGTTCATTGCCCTGTTAATTCTATTTTTCTGTACTGTTTTGCCAGATTTTTTTTTAATAACTTTAAATGCCTGACACACAGCCTATCATTCCCTTCCAGGGGAAAAACATGATTTTACAATTGTCCCAGTCCAGGTATTTTACTTTATACTATGGTAACCATTCTGATTCTCCATTTTATCTTGATTATTTTCCATTTTACCATCTCAGATATTCTGTCCTTACCCTTGGTGTTCCCCACAAACAGTTAGTGGCAGCAGTGGGTACTTGGCAGTCAGAGAACGGGCAGCCCCTGCATCAGCACAGAGACTCCTGATGTCCCCCTGCCATGGGCACCACTGTCCCAGCTTGCTCAGAGCCCCATCCAACCTGGCCTGGAACACTTCCAGGGATCCAGGGGCATCCCTAACTTTCCTGGGCAACCTGTATCATCACACTCACAATAAAGAATTCCTTCCTAGTATCCCCTCGAAACCTCCTCACTTCTCTCCTGAGTTGTTGAAAATAAGGAATTTTTTGTTTGCTTGATGCTTTTCAAGCATTTTTTTCAGAGGACAAACAGCCATTTGAACAGCTTCAATCTTAGGAGCAGATGACTGGTGTGCATGCATTTTGTGTGCAATTTTGGATAATTAAGCAGAATTAAATAATATAGGATTAAGTTTTGTGGAGTTCTGTGTTTAGTCTTAACAGAGCTGGAGAAAACTTCAATGGCTCCTCTCCTGAAATGCATCTTTACCCCCTTGGATACTCTCAGGCATTTTCAAAACAGGAAATCCCTGTTGGACCTGCAGATTATGCCAAGTTAAAGTAGATCCATGCTGAATGAGCAGGGAAGCAGCAGATATTCTGTATTCACATTGTTCATTAGGCACTTTTCTGTAAGCTGCCTTTTCTTGGCAAATTGTCTTCTCATTGTAACTCACTTTAAATCACTCTGTTCACAGTATTGGCTGATGTATCTGGAACTTAGTCCCAGTCACCCACAGTCAACCCCACCTTGCTGGCTTCTCTCTCATAATTTTTCTGATGTATTTTTATCCTCCAAAAAGGTTTTGCTGTTACTTCCCTTTAAGTCTGCTTGTGGTGGCTAGAGGAATTTACCTCTACCTTCTGTGCAGGTATGCACAGAAAAAGGTTGTAAATATTTGCTTTCTAGCTAAGAGTAAAAATAGAAAAGAAAAGAAAAATGTTATTCATTTACTCATTTAAGAGTAAAGCAGACATTCATGGCCAATCTTTCAAAGCTGACCACAGACAGGATATGTGGATATATCAGTGCTGGCCCAAAATCCTGCCCCTGAGGCACAGCTGCAGTAACAGAGCCCAACACATACCTTCACATGTCAGGAGGAAGTATTCCAGATTGTGGCTGAAGGATGCACTGAAGTAAGTGCAGTTTTCAATCAGATCACAGGACAGGCACCTCCTGTTGAAGTTCCCATTTGTGCTTGCACTGAAAAAGTTAATACAATTCCATGAAGGTCACTGAGCAAATGTTATTTGAAAGCAACATTACTTGAACCTTTCTTTAGAACAAGAATATAAATCTAATGTGTCCAACATTAGTAAGAGACAAAGTATTTCCATTTGGTTGAGTTTAAATAGCAGTAATGGTTTTTTATTTTTTCCCCTCCTGCTTGAATAGAGAATATATAAATGGATACTGATGTCATTTTGCAAGGTCAGGTGGTTATGAAGGAAGGTACAGTTTTTTTTTTTTAAATGATGCTTGCAATTACACAAGAGGAAGTAATAATTTGGTGGATGAAGACATGAAACAAAGGAGCAACTTTTCAACACTTATTTATATTATAACAATAAAGAGCTGGAATTGCTTTCTCTAAGTTTCTTATTGGTTGCATCACTGGTCTGATTTGCTAGCTGCTGCCTCAGAGGGCAAAGACCTTTCCACAGGTATAAATAGCTGCTCTGAAAACCCCCAAGTAGAAAGGAAAGATTGTATTTAGGGATCTGTTGCTGAGGAAGGTAATGTGGTCTGTCCATTTGTTCACATATTTGCTGCTAAGAGTCCAATGAATGTTGAGGAATTACAAATTATTAGCAAAAATTAAGAGATAGCATTTTTCCCCACTATAGCATTTTGAAACTTCAAGAATATTAACTAAGAAATCATTCCAAATTTTCTGCTGTGAAGCAGATGAGTGTTTTTTGCTACCATTTCAAGAGATTAGGCTGAGCAACCTTCTTAGGATCACAAAGGCTGAAATGAGTAGATCATGGGCTCTTGTTTAGGCTCAGATTTTATCCCTGACTACAATCCTAATTAAATCTACTAAATCAAACACAAAAAGGAGGGGGAAAAAAAAACCTAAACAGGTCTTCATCTGCTCTTTCTCTGTTTGTGTGGGGAGACGAGGCTGATGAGGCACCAGGGTGAGATGGATGCCAGCAAGGAAGAGTGGGGAGCATTTTCACTCATGCCAGCAGCTCTTGGACTGTGCCTGGACTCCATTTTTAAAGTGAGATTTTCTTCTCATTTCAAGAAAAATGAAGGGTTAATATAAATTTTAAATTTTTCTTCAGGGAGATAAATACTCTCAAAAAACCGTGGAGTGCAGTGAGCAGGCATATAGGTCTCAAAAAGAAAAAAATGATTCAATCACAGGTAACTTACTTTGCTCTAGTTTCCTTCCCACTGAGGAAAAAAAAGGTATGATGTCATGTGAGAGATGGAAAATGTACTGACTGTCCCTTATCCACTGATGCCTTCACCAGCTCTGCCCTTCACTGCAGATGTGGTGGCAGCAGGGTGACAGAAGAAAAATAGGGCAAATAGAATAATGATTCTGAAATGTGTATTTAAAAGTTTATGTTTCCTCCCCTTTGTAATCAGCTTCCAAAATATTTCACATTAGCAGCACTAACAATGGCTTGCTGTAACGCTTTTATTCATCATACAATTAGGGATGATGCTAAAATCTTCTGGAACTACAGGAAAAGTTTTGTAATCATAAAATATTGTTGATTCTTTTCAGTTGCATGAAGAGGCAAACTACTGTCTATTTTCTCAAAACTTCTATTGGAATGAATAGACAGTTTATAGCATGAGTTTATGTATTTCTGAATTCCCTCAAGTGCTAAGCAGTTCTGTTGGAAAAGTTTTTGACAGTCAATCTTGAGACAAATTTAAAATTTGCATTAATATGAGAAAATTGCTAAACATAAAGCATTTCCAAGTGTGAAGTATTTTTTTGTAGTGGTTGCACTGTTCTGTCTTTTCCAGTCACATATTGAAAGATCTTGTAATGCCATTAAAGAAAAAAAAACCTGAAGGAACTGCTTCTACTGCAACTGCTTATCATTCATATAAAATTGAAGAAGTGGGAAATTCTGTATATGGGGTTATTAAAGCACATACCTGTATAAATGTCTCCTTCTTGGTGAATCTTCTGTGCTATGGAAATAACTGGAGGGGAAAACCAAAAGCGAATTGCACCATTAGAAAGGTGTTTAGAAGAATCTCATGCAACAACATCTTCACTCATATTGCCATTCTCATGATCTTGTAAAAGCAAGGAAAGTTTAAACTGAATTAGAAAAAGATGCAGGGGGATACATTGCTGAGAGGCTCAAGAAAGCATCTTGCAGACTGCACTGCACTTAAAACAATCAAGGAAAACCTTGGGTCCTACACTGGTCCTGTCCCTGGATCAAAAAGAATCAAGGGATTAAGTGGAAGACATCCACTTTTTTACCTCAAGATTCATGGCAGGGAGCTGGAACTGGATGATCTTTCTCTTCCAGACATTCTGTGATTTATTTTTCTATGTTTTTGTATTGTTCTGAGGTTATTGTTAACTGAGAACATCCAGAATCTTGAAGAAGCACTGTGCTCTTAATGATCTCAAAATTTGTTGTGTTCCAGAGACTATTTACTCAACTGTTCAGTGACCTGAAGTAACTGAGAGGTGAGAACCTTGTACCCATGCGAAAATTTTGTTATTTGATTCCAAAAAGCTGTTTAAGTATTTTCTTATGTAATTTCTTGAAGTTTATATGAAAAACTGAATGTTTACAGAATTTATTTTACAAGCATAAAGAGCAAGTGTGAAGAAGGGTGGGCTTGTTTTCCCTGTTCTTCTTTTATTTTTTTTTCTAATTTTAACTAAAGATTTATTTTTTCCATTGCATTGCTATTTTTCCTGGTCTACAAAGGATTCTTTCCAGAACTGACTAGGTGGTTGATGAAAACAGTCTTTTCTACAGAGGCTAATATCAGAAGTTGCAGCAGGAGAAGTTACTGTTCTGTAAAAATTTATTTTATAGTCGTGGAAAGAGAGATTTGAACCGTACAGATTAATCAAAATAACACAAGGTATGTGTAATGGTGTGAGAGGTTAAGCCAAAATGGAGACAGCTTCTCCTGCTTTCTTATCCCCACCTCCTCATGCTCACAGGTTTTGGTGCAGTCACAACATCTTTGTAACTGTCCCAGAGCCCAGGGCTAAACAGAGGAAGTCTGATTTGTCAAAGTTTACTTACATTTTCTGCCTCTTTTCATCATATGCCAGTATCTTTGTCACATCCCAATCTCCAGATGTAATGGCCTGTAAATCGTCATTGCTACTGTTGGGCTGCCAGAAAGAAAGGAGAAGAAATTTCTTTGTTGTTAAAACTCCTGAAAAGGAGCTCTTCTGGCTCCATTGCCCATGAAAAAGAAACCAAACATCTGCAACTTCCACCCCTGCACCTGACATTTCTGTGAATCTGCAGGCATAGAAATGACAGAGTCAGAATCATCTTAACCATGACTGCACTGGAGATAATGAGGTGAATTCAGCACAGAGCAACTTCAAACCCCTTCCTCTAATCCAGCATGCCCACATGCTTCTATTTAATCCTTTATGGCAGGGTGGAGATTTACTATCTACAACTAAGGTGGCATTAAAAAAACCAAACCAAAACAATGATAATGTTTGGAAAGAGACAATCGACCGACCTTCTCCTTCAAAGTGTTTCATTTGGAAATTCACATTATCTTATGCCCAAATAAAGCATCACTGGAGGTGTTTTATGAATGCTTTTTTACATCTGCACCTCCCCACCTCGCTGTCACAAGCACAGACGCCACTTTTTGTTGCTGTCTGGCTCAGGAGAGACCCAGGGCCGTGGCAGCAGAGTCACCTGTGACGATGACATGGCGATGTGGTAGAAATGGCCACGTCCTCCCTGCGGAATGGCCCGGACGAAGAAAAACTTCCGACCGTCCCTGGAAAAAATGGGTTCTTCATTCTGTAAAAGCAGCAAAATTAAAGGGTTCATTAGGTTTTACTTGGAATTGCTCAGCACTCCCATGCTCTGTAAAACTAATTCACAGCAAAATACAAAGTGCTCTTTGACAGCAACCTGGGGCAAAGAAAGAGCCCACTGAAAACTGGAGGAGGTTTTGAGCATTATTGCCTCTTGCTCCTGGGAAAGCAGACACCTTTCAGCTGTGGGAGGACAGGCAGCAAGGCGAGTTCCTTGGCTATAAAGTCAATTCCCATTTGCAAAAAGTGCACATATACAGCTGACTGCACTTGGAGCCTTTAGAACCAGTGTGACAAACCCTGCTTACCCTGCTGGAAGAACCTCTCTGTTCCTGTCCTGGAGGAAACACAACTGAACAGCATCTAACTGCTGCCTTTCTCTACTGTCTTACAAATGCTTATCTCACTGAATTATTTATGGAGAGGATCTCCTGCAGAACTCTCCTTGACACAGAGCTCCCGGGTGAATGTGGTGATTGACTTTTATTGGGTGACTGGAACTTTCACCCAGAGATCAAGAGACTCAGCAGAAGGAAAATCAAACACCACATGTGGCAAGCAAGCATCTCCTGGCAAGGAGTCTTCTTTTTGTGAACAAGAACCCTGAGGGACATGAGAAATTTCTGCTACATGAAGTGGTTGAGCAGCAGATTACCAGAGAAGGCAGAAAGATGGTCCATGTGGTGGGACACAAGAGCACTGTACCAACAGGACTGGCCACATGAAGCTAACTCTAAATCTCAGCTAGCTGGCAGTGAATAATAAGCTGAATCTCTGCTGAAGGTGTTCAGTGATAGCAGGATTTTCTGTGGCTGGATGAGCCTTTCCTTGGCTGGGCTTTGTGAACTCTTCTTTATCCAGGGCAATCAACAAGGAGATTGTTGCCAGCCTCTTCTGGGTCCTCTGCAGCTCAGTGTTAATCAAACCCCTTGACTTTCTGCTTGGCACATGCCAGGACACCACACTGAACCAGCAGGAACCTGATTGTACAGGGAGACTTATGGCACAGCAAAGGAATAAACATTCTTATTTCCCGTAAGCTAACACATTATTCTTACTCTATGTTCCTTTGCTACTTTGCTCTTTACTGATTAATTCTTTTCTGCTATTTATCAGATTTGTCAGTGCTCTGTTAGGTGTTCAAACTGTTCTTTTTGCCTTTTATTCTCCCCTGCTTAGGTTTTCAATGTATTTAAAAATGTGCCCATTTGCAGCTTGTTGCAGCTCTATGAAATAATGGTTTCATTTATTTCTGACATTGTTCTGGAACCTGAAACATGAAACTCTATATTATTTCCAAATGTCTTTCATGACAGGAGAAACCTCATTGAATAATGACTGTGATAGCTCAGGCAAACCTTCTGCTTGACAGGTTTTCTTTTCCTGAGGTAGGTAGCAATGAGTTCACCCTCCATTTCTATATCTGTGCCTCCTGCATTGTACATTCCAGCAATTCATCTCTGCCAGTGAGAGCAGGCATTGTGCTGATGAGTTTGAGGTTCATTCAGAGCCCCAGGGGAAGGAGGTTCATGGCACAGGTGACAGGTGTGAGGTTTTAGCTCTGGGCTGATGATACAGGACAGTCTGTTTGCATGTTCCACTGCTGCAAGGGCAACACATGAGCACAGTCAGAGCTTTGCGACAGAGATGATGATTTACTCAGGTGGTAAATGGGGAGACAGACTGAAATTCTCTTGGAACAGGATTTGATAATCTAGGGAGCTACACTGGCACATAATTAAAGTAGTCTGCACGTGATATGAACTGTCCAAGCCTTTTGTCAACTATTGACTGAACCCACAATAATAAACAGAGCAGCCTCCTTGAGAAGAATACATCAGTTCAGTGCTACCAAAATACAAAACTTTAACTATAGCAGCAGGTATGGGATTTTTGGATGTTTTTGCCACAGAGTATTTGTGAACACAGCTGGTATCAGTAGGTGCAAAAAGGGCTGGAACAGATTCATGTTTCATTAATAGATTTTAAACAATATGGATATAGTCTCAAATTCTGTAATCTATTTGATGATAGTGAAATATGAGAAAATTATGCCACCAAATACTTCAGCTTTCTTGGAAAACAGAAGGTAATGGGAGGCTGCTGGAGACCTCTGAACCTCCTGGAGGGTTCATTGCTGGAGCTCAAAGCTGCACAACCCAACTCAGTGCATCTGCAAATGGTCAGGACAAGAAAACAAGGAGTGCCTGAGGGGCTTATGCCAAGTTTGGCAGAATCAGAATGGGTGAGGGAACAATGCTAAACACAGTCTGAGCTTCTGTAGATCCTAGAGAGGAGCACAAAGTCCTCCTCTTGTAAAGAATAACAATTCACAGAAAAAAGGTAGTGTATTCAATTGTGTTTGGAGAGGGATCAATGAGAATCACTGGATCTCCAACCACCTGAGGAAGACTCCTCTGCTAAAACAAGAGAAGATAAAGTGTGTACAGGATGGTGGGGATTGCACAAGTGTCTCTGACCTTGAGGATTTGCATGATCAAACATGCACCAGGACAAATGTTTGAAAGAGAAATTATCTGATTTATGGTGAGTTGGAATTTTTGAAAGATTAGTGGACACACAAGTATAGCTCCACCAAAAACCACCCACACATTAACATGGGCCAAGCAATCATCATATTTCAGCACCACACTTTGCAGCTCCAAACTGGTTTGTCTGTGCTCACCACACTCCCAGCCTCCTGTTCTTCTACAGTGCCTCACATGCTCCTGGCTGGACTCCACACATTTCCTCACAGAAATCAGTGGTAAGGCAGGTTCTTTGCATATTGGCTTTATTACTGACTGACAGCTATACTTCCATAAGAATTATGATTTGCTGGTCCATCCTCAGGTTTTAAAAAGGAAACAAATTAATCTGAATAACTGAATCTTTTCCAATTGATTCTCTGATGTGTTTTCCCTTCCTCAGCAGTCTCCTGCCCTCTCTGTCTAAACCACCTTTGCCCAGTTCCAAGAATTAATGATTCTGCTGTGTTGGCAACTATTCCTTCAATGAAATACCCCAGTACTGCCTGTGTCACAGGCCCCTAGCTCTGATAAACAAATAGGTGTGACATGAATTCTTTTAATTCCTTGCATATTGGTAAGCACTTTGTTTATGTCCTGCAAAGAAAACAGCCAGTGTGCATTGACTCCATCAGGACAATGCAGTCACCTCCTCTTTAGGGCACAGGGGGAAGATCTCTTTCCATCTCTTGGCACACTCAGCCCCTGGGGCAATGCTGAGTTTCATCCTCATCCCTGTCCTCATCCTTGTCTGTGGCTGGCTGTACCACACCTTCAGCCAACTCTGAAGCCAGGACAGCTGCACCAAAATCAGGGTCAACAACTGGAGAGGATCCCATGTCCCTGGGTACAGATCCCCTCCACTGGTGAGATGGGAACTCTTCATTTAAGCACGAGAAAGATTGTTTGTAGCCAGGAGCTGCTTTTTTGTCTCTGGTAGATGAGTTTGGGTATTGGAGTTACAGAACTCTGGGTCCTATTCCTGCTGCATCCTTTCCTTTAGGCCAGATTTAGGTCAGTTATGGGGTAATTGCCTTGCAAAGGGGCTTTACAGAAAGAAAAAGTGGGTCCTGTTTGTAAGTTCCTCTGAACTCTGTTTTCATTTTAAAACTCTTGTCATATCTCCTATTAACTACATGCAAGACTCATTACTGGGTTATCATGCAGGATTAAAGTCAGGGAGCAGTAAAAGAAAAATGGTGCCAGGTTTTCAACATCTCCACCTTTTAAGAGAGTGAGTCTTTAGCTTCCCACTGAGGCCATCTGAAACACTGGGGAAATAGGAGGACTGGAAAGAAAAATGCAACCCGAAGAAGCTGTTATCAGGGGTGGGCAGCCAGCCCATGCAGGCAGTTTTGAAGGTTATAGGCCTCTAAACAATTTTATGATAATCTCCTGGTCCTGCCAAAGTCAATGTCAAAGACTGCAGCTTTTGGTGGAGTTGCAATTACACCCTGGTTTGTAATTAAATTTTTTTCAGGCCATATTCATAATTAAATAAATAATCCAATTAAAATGCCAGTAAAGTTTATCTTCAGCAGGTGCTCAGAAATTGCCTGATTTCTCCCTTGCTGACTCACTGCCTGTATACGACCATCCCAGCACTATTGGAAAACGGCTCCTTCACGAAAAATTGAAACAAAGTTACTTACAGCTGCAATTAGTGTTTCGAACAGTTCGTGTGCTCAAGCAAAAGTATGAGTGCAGTTCAATCTGGCTCTTGTGCTCAGAAGTGCACAAGCAAGTATAGAAACAAAAGAAGTATAAACTTCCAGAGTCCCTGGACAGTTTTAGTGAACATGTGCCACTTCATCTGATGAAGAGTGACAGAGAATTTCTAGCAAATCTTGTGTAAATACTGTGTATTCCTCCTTATACTTTAAGTAGTTTATCCTATTTTGTAGCTGCACAGGGAGTGGCTGCATTATTTCACATTATATATGTGTGGGAGAGAGGCTCTCCAAAGATTTTGGACTTGCATAAAATGTATTCATGAACTTAAGCCCAGAAGGAAACATGATATTGTTTACTATGACCATCCATGCACAGACTTTTAAATGCCACTGAGTCACCAAACCACTACAACAATAGAATTCAAATTCATGGCTTGCATGCTTTCTCTCAGAACTCCCAGGATTTCAGACAGCTGAAAAAAGTCAGACCTGTCATCCTTGGAGATCCCCTCATGCCCCTGGTGAGCATCTTCTTGTCTCCTACTCCCAGCTGACTGTTTGTCCCTATCTGAGGATGCCCTTAAATTCCCAGGGAAAAGGTAAAACCATGTGCACGCTTTTCAAACCATGCATACATAGAGATTTTTGAAGGAGTATTTTAAAGAACAAGGAAAGCAGTTGGATTCCTTGGTCCTGCTGATTTAAAATTGGGACACTTCTCAAAAGGAGATCTTTGGGGTGTGCTGAATCCAGGGTCCCTTGGCTGTGACCCCACTGCCACCACCCTGGCTGTCTCCAGAGGGGACAGGGCACCTGGCTCATTTGCAAATACTTATATTAAAATGTCTCAGCCAAGGAGCCACACTCCTGAGCTCCTTCAGCTGCTGCCTGATGTGCAGCTCATCTCCTTCTTGGAGAGGTTAGTGGACCCAAACTAGCATTTAACATTTTCACATCATCCTCATACTCAGGCACACATGCCATGAAAATACCTTTCCAGTTATCTAGATTAATGTGTCATAGAATAAAAGGCAAATATAGAAAATACAATTATCCCAGTCATCATATTCAGTCAAAACTAGAATTTTAAGTAATTTTGTTGTCAGAAATAGAGGCAAAAGAGCTATATAATTTTCCAGAATCCTACAAAAGCTTTTGAAGGATGCTATCAAATGTCTCCAAAGTCCATAGAACATGTTATTTTAGTTAGCACTGAGATGTCTGACTCATTTGGCTGTAATGAACATCCTTCACTAGTATCAAACTAAGTGTGTGCTTTCAAACTAAGTATGTGCTTTTTGGAGATGCAGTAAAACAAAATGTATTTCCCTGGAGCAGGCCCATTAGACTGACAGATCATTTACTTCAGATATTGAGGATAAAGCACCATCTTTTAATGCCTGTCCATGTAGTAGGTGACTAAATAACCACAGCAGTGTAAAAACACAAGTTCCACTGTACTGTATTAATGCTATAAAACACAATTCTACTATACTGCAGTAAATAGCAATGAAAGGATTATTTTTACTGCTATTGCCTTCAAACTTATAAAATAAATAAAGCCTGTTAAGTTTGAGTTTTTGTTGTTTGTTTGCTTGGTTGTTTTTTATTTTTTATTTTTTTAATATATGATATCTGAACAATTTAATTTTCTCTTGATTTGGCTTGTCTTTTAACCTTTTGTTTCCTACTCAAGCCAATACAGTCCTTATGAATGCAAAGAATATTTCAGCACCATTTTTACTCTATATCAGCAAAAGATTATTTGAAATGCTTGGAGCAGAAAATCTATTTCCAGAAAATCAATCGATTTTCATCTGGAACACACACAGCCCACTGCTGCAGGACAGCCTCTGGAGCAGAGGAGAGCATTGTTCTTGCTGTGAACTGATGTAGAGCCATTTCTACAGGCTCTTGGCTCCTCTGAACAGCCTGTGACAAAAATTTGAAATGCTTTAAATCTGGACCTGTAAAAATATATTGAACAAGGTATTTTGTGACATGCTGCTCCCTGTCTGGCATTCTGACAAGGCTTGAAAAGCAGTTCAGTGTTGTGGCTGAATCGAGATTACAGCTTCTTTCTCAAGAACAGCTTCATCTAATCTGAGGTCTCTTCACAAACTGAACCCCAGGGCAAGTGTTATATATGATATTTAAATGACTCATCATTCTATCTGCATGATTTTGTCTCTGAATAAAATGACCAGAAAGCAGCCACCATAGTATTTAAACTGTCACCATCAGTGTAAGGGCAGGGTGTGAAGGATTGCCTCTGAGGCTGATGAGTCCTATACAGATATTGCCAGTGAGTGATTTTCCACCCACATCAGCTTTTCATCTCTTTTAAATACAGGTGAATTGCAGGCCAAGGACTATGGCACCTACCAGAGTGGATGGCATCTTTACTGAGAACTTGTTTGTTACTGGAGCTCTTTGCTGTTATACAGATCATGCCATCTTCCAGGTATCTCTCTCAAATCAGGAAATCAGTTTTTCTCTTTGGGGAAAAAACTCAGTGAAGCAATTATCCTACCAAAAACTTGACCACAAGGAGAAGATCACTCTTACCTGTCTGTGCAGCCAGGCGTCACTCTCATCTTCATGTTTCTAAAATACAAGCAGATCATTAACACCATACTTGTCATATATTACATTTTGCCTATCAATGCAGGAAGCTATCAGATTTGAGTTGAAAGGTTGCTCAGAAATACAAGGAAATATTTAAATATGTGCTTCTGGAGTGGAATCCAGTGGCTGCTTTTCTTAACTTTCCTCCCTGATGGATAAGCATTCACTACATCAAGAAAGCATTTTATGTATACAGACAAAACACATAAATCAACAGGATGTATTATTCCCCGAAGAAATAAATCTTCTTAAGAAATAAATAAAGTTATTTATTTATTTATTTATTTATGAAATGAAAATTATTAAGAAAAAAAACTTCTCACCATGCTCTATGCACAGAATTGCAGCGTCTTTTTCAGGGGATAGGTGTATTAGAACAATTTTATACAATGGAAACACATGCTAGTTTAAATGATCTAATCTGCTAATGGAATCTGCTGATCTTATATCAATGCACCATTTGCATTATTTCATTTATAGAAGGGATTAGTAACCTACAATTGAGGTATGTATAGATAAGCATGAGCTGGTTTTAATGTCGTTAAATACATATAATGCAGCTAGAATTGTGCAAAGATATTTAGGTTGCAGATTGCTGAGGTATGTGAGCTTGTGTGTAGATAAATTTCAGGATAGGTAATCACTCTCCCTCAAACACACACAGTGTTCTTGGCGTAAAAAAAATAATTAAAAATTGTGAACATTGTTTATATTCTGTCTGCCTAAATTAATGTATTCCAGCTGACTCCTCATCACCTAAAATAAGTTAAATAGTTTCTCCTGGGGGGGTTATGAACGCTGAAGACAAGTGAGCGCTGTGCACATCTGCCCCACCTTGGTGCAGACCCCCGTGGTGGCGTCGCAGAGCGTCAGGATGGACACGTTCTGGGCCCTGTTCAGCCAGTTCACTGCCACCTTGGTGCTGGTGGCCCATTTCACCATGGTGATGTAGTAGTCCCTGCAAACACAGACACACACAAACCAGATCACAATGATGCCATCCTAATTATCACGATTTTATGAGAGAGATGGGACCGCTTAAAGATGTTTTAAAGCATGATTTATTCTTCTTCTTCCACAGTCTCTTGAAGGAGTGAGTACTTCTTCACCTTTATTCACCAGATGTTCTTGGTCAGTGGACACAAGACTACAGGTCACAAGGTTTTTTAAAGGTTAATTAGCCAATAAACTAATGCCACAGAAGAATGTTTCTACTTTCACACCAACAGCTAATTATTTTGTTTTATATGTCTTTGCTGCAGTGCAAAATTATATTCTTAACCAATCATATAATGACACATAAAACTACTTGTTATACCTTGTTATACCTGAAACTTTTTATCACCTTTACAACTACTTCTGTATCTTAACTTTAAAACCTTAAAACTTCCTACAACCTAACTTACTGTCTTTCTATTTAAACTCACATTCTTATTATTCTAAGCCTGGAAGCTTTCTCCAAGGCCTTAAATCAAACCCTGTGTCCATGTCTGTATCTAAGCCTGCATTTACAAGGTTTTGAGAGCTTTCTGTGCTTGGAATTCCCACACTAATGAATTGCCACATGGCAGAGCAGCCGGGGGCTGCTGCAGGCAAACAGTCCAGGAGAGAGCTGTGGTTTTAAAGAACATCATGTCCTGATGTCTCTAGAGTGGCAGTCTCTAGGCTGCTAGATGTATGGATTTCAACCCCTAAAAATGACATTTTTAGGGCTGTGCAGATGTTTTATCTGCCACTTCTGGAAGTTATTTTCAAAGAAGAGACGAATACAGAGATAAAGAATCTTTCATGCTATTCTGTCTTCCAAGAAGGATTGAACTGCCTGGAGCTACAAATTTACACACAGGTGGAAAAGAAATTGCAGACCATTTCCATTCTGAGCACTCTAACCTGAGCTGACTCAGACCCCTCACTATCAATGGTTGGGGTCTTTATGCTTATGAAAAGTTGATGGCCTCTGAGTATGCCAGCTACACACCAAAGCACCCAGGAGTGTTGCATTAAAAGACACAGAGTAAGAAGGATAGAGTTTGGAGAGACACAGGGTTTCTATAAAACAGATGCAGCTGGTTGCCATAAAGGCATCAGCAGAGACAGTTTGTCTGAGCAAAACCACCCTCCTACAGTCCCTGCACCATCTCATTGCTGGACATGTCCAGGTTGTGATGATCCTTGGAGAGAATCATGGGTGTGGGCTGCACAGTCCTGTAATCAGTATCTTCAGGAAAAAACCCTACAATAGTGGGGACTGCAACCACTTAGGCTGGGCTGGAAAATACAGGAATAAAATCACTGATGGTTGCTTTCTCAGAGCCAGGGCATGGTGCTAGCAGATGTCCACCTCTGCAGCAATTCAGGGCTCCACTGCTTCATTTGTAGGGCACAACTCTGGCTGAACTGCCAAAGCTGGTGATATTATAATATACTGCTGGGCCATGCAGGCAAAAGCATCCTTAAAGTAGGATTTTTGCAGCAAACAGTCTATAAAAAAATTATTAGTTCATTTGTTTGCTATAAAATATGTATAAGGAATTGTTGCTCTCACTGGAAATAAAGTGCTGTGCTGCTGGAAAGCCCTTTGTGTTCTGGCAAGAGCTCCTGCATATACTGAAGAGAAAGGGCAAAAGCACAAAGGTCTGTTTGTCTAAAAAAATAACAAGCTGGAAATTGATTTTGTACTTTTCAGTAATATTTAGTGCCTGAAATTGGCTGTGGGAAAAAGGAACAAAAGACCTCAATGCTTGCATCCACTGCATTGGGGAGAAGGATATGCCCAGGTGAGACAACAGCAGTCTGAAAATTTAGAGCCTGAAATAAACTTGTAATTTTACTCTTTATCAGCAACAGTGTAGGCCCTAAGAGAAAAAAAACCAGCAAAGCAAAATTAAACTGTATAACTGTCTCTTCTTTCTCTCCAAAATGAACTGAGCAGATTCAGTCTCTCCAGAAAAGGAATGCGATTTTAGTACTTATTGTGGCTTGGAGCATTTTTTCCATAAATCCAATTTAAAGTTTCAAGGACATATATTCAGTTTTTTACATCCCTCTCACTGTTTAAACACAGGAGCTGCAGTTCTCTCTCAGGAACTTTTAATGATTGTTTTAGGAGAATCATGGCTTTACCTACCACCCCAGAGAAGGGCATGGAGTCTCAATTTCTCTCTGAACCCACTTCTGGCCATCAAGACCATGGATAACCCATCCCACAGATAACTGCAGATACCTGGATAGTCATTATTCTAGTTTTTGAGTAGTGTGGAGTCTTTAATTTCATTTACTTCCCTTCACATCTCTGCTACAGGACACCCAAGTTTTATGGTTCCAATTTTGCAGAGGAAAATGAGACAAGAAGGTGTGATTCATCTCAGCTAATTTTAAACATCTGCTGCTCCTGCAGTTGCCCTGGTTGAGAGCCAGTGGAGAGAAATGGGAAATCAGTGCAATTCCCAAGCCCTCTCTCCCTGATCTGTCCCACATTTTATGTGGAGCTGATTGAAGGGAGAGCCTGTTTCCTCCACAGAATGAAACCTAGCAGGTCCTTGACCAGGGTGTTTATAGACATCCTCATCAGGGCAGAAGGGAAGGGACACCTTGTCTGAGCCCTGTCAGGAAGGGTGAAGCCATCCTGGGTTTTGCAATGGATTTCCACACCCTAGGAAAGACCTTGTTGGTTTGGTTTGGTTTGCAATCATCTGAGACTGAGGTCATTGTGCAGCACCCTCACAGGACCCTGCCCATGCCCCAGCTTTCCACAGCTGCCTCCTGGACACGAATCCCAAACATGAGGTGTGACCCTACAACATGAATACCTACAGTATGACCATGGTAACAAAGCCACAACCACCACAAAGAGCAGACAGTGATTTGTTACAGGCCATGGGACAGGCAGCAGCCCAGCCCATTGTCCCTGGGGCACAGAGAACTCCTCAGATCCAGACTGGAGCTGGCTGAGCTTTCCCATTATTTATTTGTTTCTGGCCCATGCAAGGACCAGTGATGATTTCTCCACTTGAGGAAGATAATATCATCCCTCAGTTTTCCACCTGAGATGCAAATATAAGAAATAAGTTGGGTCATGGTCCAATTCTGACCATCTGCTGATGAAACTCTAGAGGTCCAGTGGTTTTCACCAAGATAAAAAATGCCCGTCAGGCATTAAATATTACAACACTACTCTCCCCCCCTCAATTTCAACCCCTTCCCTTCCCTTTCTTTTTTTCATGGAAAAGCATGGCATTGGAGAGACCTTGACAAAAATGTTCCAAATGAAAGATACTTAAAAAGGAAAAGTGATCAGTATTACACTTTTACCCCAAGTATGTTTTCCTATAATCAGCTTTGGGTTTTTTTATTGCTTTGGTATTTTATTTTATTGCTTTGTTTCTTTTCTTGAAAAATATCCAATTCCTGTGGAAAATTTCTATCTCCTTTCAGATTTGAAAGAAAAAAGGCTGTGGCATATCTCTACTTTATTATCAGCTTTATTAATTGTACTAAATCACTTTGCTCCAGATAAAAAGAACACGAAATACCACTCTGTCCATATATCATCTGCACTGAGCACACTGAAATGCTTCAGATAGGATGTGTCTGCTGGAAGATCCTTATCACCAGCTTCCCCTGCTTTCTTGAAACTCCCTTCTGTAACTGGATGTACAGCACATCCCTCTTGCCTATTTTAATAAAATGCTATCACACTAATCTTCTCATTTCAGGAAATATATGCATAATGAAAATACACCCCTATTGCTCTGGCAGCACTACTTCTATCATCCCTAGAGATGGCACTTGCCATGGTTTTGATGAAATATACAGGCACTAATTAATTATGATGTATTTTGCATCATTTTGCAATATTGATTGCAACCAAATAAATTACGGCCAGCAATAACCATATAGAACAAATTTATGAACAACACTTGGATCCTGCAGCTGGAAGTTATTGCTGTAATTAAAACCTTTCTGACTCTCTCTGTTTACAGAGGATGCCACCAAAGAGAAATTATATTGCTCAGGAGCCACCATTCTGGTACTGTGATGGGGAGACTGTGATCCTGAATTCCTGCTGTACACAGCTCTGAAGTTGTATTTTTGAAAGGCAAATGTCCATCTGGTTTGAGCACAGATCATACATCTTCTTTTGCATAAATAGATTTGGATGCTTTTAGAGTTATTGATTGTAAACCTGTTCTAATAAAATATTCTATAAAATACAGGTAAAAGGAAATTAATTTGAAAAAAAAAAAAAAAGCAGATTTATGCAAAATGAAACTTTCTAATAGCAGCAGAGAACGGTCCAGTGTTAAAAACTGTAAAATGATCTTGAAAAAAGGTTCTGATCTAAAACCCCAAGGGAACTGGGGTCAGCATTCAAGTGTGAGGAAGAACCTACCTCATTCTCTGATCATCTGGGGGAGTCATTTCCAGGTCATGAGTGGGTCCTTCCCATTGAATGGGATGTGGACTGGACTGCTGTGGTCTCTCACAGGGAGACTGCAGATCCAGGGATGTGGCACAGAGGTGTGGAGAGGCTGGCAGGCACAAACAAAGGGCAATTTTACTCAGGACACTTCTAACCTTAGTGAAAAATCCTGCTTTTCATGGCAGCTAGGAATTTTGCTATTTCCTGCACCTTTTGACAAAAGGTTGTCTAAAAGGATGATGGTTGATATAGTAAAATACTGATTCATTTTGTACTGTAGGAAAAGGTATCCCCTACTGAACCATTGTGATTTCCACAAAACCTGCACCTCTCCTGCTAAATTATGGCTCAATTTGGACCAGCATGTGAGGTCTTAGGCAATCAGTGCTTAAAGCAAGAAACCCAGAAGGAATGACTGCAGCAGACACCCCTGTGCTGCTTCAGATCAGGAAATGACAGCAATAGCAGCAGTGAGTCTGTGCTGGAAGAGAGCTGTGTCAGTGCTGTGCATCCACTGCAGGTCTCTGCAGTCAAGGGGAGATTGGCTCTTAAGTCTTTTCTGTCTTTCAGGCACAGCAAATCTCTAAAACCAATGTCTCCTCTGATATTAGACAATCCTGGATATTCTAAGGATGCCCAAATACTACATTTTTTTTCTATACAAAAGATAATCTATCTAAATACAGAATATATGTATGTGTGTACTTATCTGATCTATCATCTAAAATCTAAATATAGAAATATATCTAAATATAGAAGCATATCTAAATATAGAAACATATCCAAATATAGAAATATAGAAGCTCCAAACTGTCAGACACCATCCAACTTCCATCTGTTCCAGCATGGAAGGACAATTGCTTTTGTGTGTGTCAAATGCAAGGATTTTAAAATCTTATTTTCACTGTATGTAGAATTACCAATTCTCACAGGACCAGAAAAGTTCAATTTTACAAATGCAACTAAAGAGTGATGGAGAGCACAGACTCTGGGGAACAGCTGATCTTCCCTTGGATCTGTTTATTTTCATTGCTTATGAGTGTGCATTATTAGTCTCCTGTCTGAGCCTACTGGAAATAAACAATTACTAATTTCTGATAGAGCAGCAGGACTGATTATTTTACTTTCCCTTACCTTTGGATAATGATATGTTTTAACAGTAGGGTAAAGGATGCCTGTATATATGGGGATCTCCATGGTGGGGACTCTGGAGGCATTAATTGTTGCATATGCCAGCCTGGTGCCATCAGGAGACCACCAATGAGCAATGTGAGTCTTCAAGATCTCCTCTAATTAAAAAAAGAGAGAGAGAGAACAGAAGGAAAAAAAATAGGCTATTAGAGGTAAATTACTAGTTAGTAATAAATGAAACAGTGCAGATAGGAAAATCCCAGTCTGATCACAGCACAGGGAGGATGCCACAGGAATATCAATCAAAAATACTCATCAAATTATGCCATATACACAAATGAACACAATTGATAACAATTACTCTGTATTTATAGGTTATTAGGCTTAATTACCTTTGCTGAAGAAACATCAAATTATTCATATTAGTACACGCTCATGATGGAATAAAAGGCCCTGCTGCTCCTGCCATGTGTCCTGCACATGATTAGGGTTCACAGCATCACACTAGACACATATCAATCAATTCAAACACTGTTCATACAAGTACTTCAGCAACAATTTAAATCCTCCTTAGTTCTGTTGCCAGTTAGGAATAAATAAATATTGAAATTTTCTATAACTTATGAAAGGCTGAAACTTTAAATACCAGGCCTTAGAGTCTGTACCTTGGATGCCATCTTGACTTTTACCCCTACTTCATTTTTTAAATCACTTTTGCAAGGCAATTTGCCAAAAGTATCCAGGGTTAGAGCCTGATCCTTTATACCACTGAGTTTTGGCATTTTTGAGATTTCAGTAATATAATTACCATTGAAAAGGTGCTCAGGAAGATGCCAATGCAAACATGTCAGAGTTCAAGTATGTAAGGAGAAAACAATATTTCCATCATGTGAAATTCCTTTTAATTAATTATTTTTAATTAATTAACCTTGTTCTCATTAAATTTAAATTCAAATAGCTTCTAATTTCTAATACTTTTCATATAATCCAATACCTTTCATTGTAAAGAGGAATTCATCTTACAGATCTGCAGAAAAGTTATAAAATTTACTCTTGGTCCAAAGTGTCTCCAGTTACTGACATTTGGAAGACATTAACTTGGCTTTTTAAACCTCCCATTTTGTGAAAGACAATAATGTAATCCATTTTCATTAAGAGGCTTAATATCATGTGAGTCATTGCTATTTAAACCACCAGAAGGGCTTGCATATGCTCTGCAGATTGATGGGCAGGAAGATGGGTCCCATTACTTTAATGTGAGAATAAAAATGAAAGAGGTTGTTGGCTGTTTCACCATGAAGTCCTGCTACACAGGTCCAAGCAGCTCCAATGCCTGCTGCCATCACTGGTCATTGGAGAAATGGATGGGGATTTTCTGAGTTCAGACCCACCAGGTTTGTACACCCCCTTCTGATGACCCCCAGTCCAATCAGGACATCCCTCTGGTCTGAAGAGTAGAAACTCACCAGACACTGTTTAATTAAAAAAAAATAAAAATTGGATAAGCAATCCCTGGAGAACAGATAATTATATTTATCACAGGGTAAATAAACACTTTGTTAATCAAGACTTGCATATGGCTTGGAATAAAACTCAAGGTAACATGAGAAAGGGTGCAAGGGAAAATTCATCCTTGATACTTATGGTTTTCAGAAATAACAAATTAATTAATCAAAGCTTAATGGCAGCATGTAAGTGGGGTTTTGGAAAGATATTTAGGAAGTTAAAGACATTTCATGGGAAAGCACATCTGGCAAATTTGCTTTGCTGCATTGTCCCACCTGTTATGTGTATATTTAAAAGATGCTTTTGACTTTTATATTGGTTGCCCATTAAAGAGATAATGAAGAGCATAAAGGAAAAGGAGTAAAGATGGATGGCAGATGAATCCTTGACATTTTAACATTAATTAGGAATGACTTTATTCAGCAAACATTTTCTCCAGGATCTCAGACTTAATGAAGCAGTTCTGCTGAAGGTCACACACCCAAAAAGGTTTTAGTGCAGGTTTTGTGGTCCTCTGTTAATGAGATTTAATTGAGTGAACCTTTGCCTTGAAACAAAGCCAGGACCTTGCTGCTATTAGAGAGATCAGTTAGTTTTAGCCAACCAGAGAACATTCTTATGCCTGTAGAATGGATTAGTACCAGAAAGTTCTTTCAGCTGAAAGAAAAATTGATTTGCAGACAATTTGTTCTTGGAGACAGTTTATTCCTTGTGTTTGCATTTAGCACATGCTCTGAAAATCAGCTGCATTCAATACTGCTGGGTCTTTCTAAAGTTAGTTCAGATCCTGCCTCATGTGTATGAAAAAACAGATTCTCCAAAATTTTAATCACTAAAGCCCCCCTATGTATTTGGATCATGACCTCCTGACTGAGAGCATAAAGTCATAATTGATCAAAACCTTTGCCCTCTTCCCCAGAGCCTGCAGGTGCTGAGTGCTACATGATGTCAGGATGCTGAGTGAGCTGCTGAGATTCCTCACAGTCAGATCCTGAGGGCTTTGTGCTCCTTCTTTCTCCACAGTTTTGCTTGCCAGCCCCAACAGGGTGTGCAAACTTGAAAAACAGTGAGAGTAAAGTGTGTGGTTGCCTTAGCTGAACAAGGGCTGCTCAGACCTGCTGGCTGGGTTCAAGCACAGGGTTTGGGACAAGTCAGTGCTCAGTCCATCTCAGAACATTCGATAGTGAATCAGTCTGAAACATCTGGCTGACCCTGCTCACGAGCAGTGACTCTTCAGTGGGCACATGTACAGCCAGTGAGGTGTTTGTGCTCAGGGAATGTTGCAGGATGTGTATTTTAACCCTTTTTTCTAGCTGAGTAAGGCCCAATTGAATGATCATTTCAAAGGTGTGTGGAACAAAGAGTATTCTAGGTTAACAGACCACCAGGAGGAGGATCTGAAGTCCTAGGTCAGAGTATATTCAGTGACAGCTGGGTATGTATCCCTGTCAGAGGCTTCAGTATCATTGGAGGAGAACAGAAACTGGAGGAAAAACCAGAGGTGTGATGAGAGGAAGGTTCCCAGAGATGAATTCAAGGTTGCTGCAATAGAGCATTTCATGGCTGGTTCTTTGCAATCAAGGCCTGAGCAGCACCCAGAGTGAGCCAGGCTGCCCAAAGTGGGAATGCCAGATCTTCTGAAGGATGTGTTTCCTGATAGAAACTCTCCTGCTCACATCAGGGAGCAGAATGACAAGTCCCTTGCAGTGGTTCTCAGCTGCCAAGCAACAGGCTGTGGTTAATATTTGGATATTGGGTGTAGCATTTGGCTATGATACCACGTGGGTAATCCCTGGAAAGGCTGAACAGTGGATCAAAAGTTGGGTGGACACTTCTAGCAGGTCTCTTATCAAAAATTAGCCCAGCATGTATAAAGTTAAGCAGCTACCAGGTTGTTTCAAACTGCAATTTAATTCCCACAGCACTTGAAAGAGCAGTGAAATGGAGATTTTATCTCACTTCAGGTAACAAACTTCTCTAGGATTCATAGCAAATGAATCTGGAAGAGGCCCCAGAAATCCTTTTGCTCATTACTCCATGGATAAGATCCATCCCAATCCTGTAAGGATCTTCACAAGTGGATTTTGCTATTCCTTTTGATACTTGTACAGCAGCTTTAGCCATAGAATTCAAAATTTTATAATTATCACATCCATCTCTAATTCACAGTCCCAGTGAACTGCAATTAGACCCCTGACTTCCTTGACAAACTCAATGCAGGGAAAAGCACCAGGCCTTTATCTTATGCAACCTCTGTGGCAACCAGAAGGTTCTGGAAAAGAAACCAAACTGTTGCATGCACCACATTTGGAAATCCAGGGATGGTTTTACTGTTCTGAACCATAATCTACCAGTGGGCCATTTCTAGAGACATTTCCATGACAAATCCACTTCCCAGGCTTGCACAGAGCTCTAGACTGGCAGAGCTCCTCTTTGTTAACAAACACATGTAAATGCCATGGCCATGGAGGTTTCTTCATGCTCCTCTAAAATCCAGCTAGTTCTGCAGCCTTTGTCCATCCTCAGTCATATTTGTGAATTTGGCCTTTTTGTTGAAGGTGGCAAAGTTCTGTCTTGCTGCTTGGAAAAGATGAAGCCTTCACCAGTGAGTGACTGAGAAATCCATTGGTAGCTTAGAGATTACTTGCAATGGTATCAGGAGAAAAAACAAAAAAATAGATAATTTTCAAGTAAAAAAAAACCCACCTTTTCCTGGGCCTTCCTGTTAAAAGACAAAAATAACTTGTAATTTTCATTTGAGTTAACAGAAAGAGAGACTTGCACAAGAAGACAAAGATGCTCAGACAGAGCAGTCCTCTGACAGTCTGACCTGTACCATTGCAACTCTTTTGTATCACTAAAAACATAAAAAAAAAATAAAATTCGAAGACATTAGCAATTTAAGGTTCAAAAGCTCTCAGGACCAGTGCTATTTCTTGCTGATTTTGTAAAGTACAGCAGTTCTGGGGGTGGTAGCCAATGGTTCTGTTTGTGTGATGTATTGTAGCTGATGCTCAGATCATGAAATATTTGGTGTGCTGAAGACATTTTGCTGTTTTATTAAAACTGTTAATAAAAAGGAATTTTAAGCAAAATGAAATTAAAGCCTGACATAAAGGCCATGGCTTATGTTGGGAAAGAAAGCTCAAAAGAAATTGTCAGTAGGATGTATCAAAAGAACATGAGAGGAAGAGAGATCAGAGAACAGCAAGAGGGTCTGGGAAAGGAGAAAACAAAGACTACTGAGAGAGTGAAACCCCAAGGGTTCTCATAGAAACATCAAATAAATACAAATGCTTATTTGACAGCTGCCATCTGTTTTAAAATCAATTACTAGATCATCTCAAAGCACCAACCACATGTCCAAATCGATTACTATTGTGGAGTGTGAAAGCAAGTATTTTTAGCCAGTTAGGGAAAACTCATTGTTCATATTCGCCTTTCCTGACAAGGGTTTCAGGGATAAAATGACCTTTTATTCTATGCAACTAAGTTTTTATCTCAGTTGTTGCAGTGTAGGTTTACACTGACTTCCATTAAATCACTGTAATAGATAGAAAATGAGTGTTAAAAAGTAGCTATGTGTATGCAAATTGTATAAAACTGTTTTAGATTACCATACCAAATCTACATTTTCATGTGTTGACATTAT